GAGGTCGAGACTCGGCCCTAGGCCGAACCTTGAAGGCCGGAGATCCTGAGTGGCAGAGTCCCGCCTGGGGACGGCGCACTGGGGGAGAAAGAGATGCCCAGGGGAGAAGCGCAATCCTGTCGTCCGTCGGCGCAAAGGGGGGGAGCCAAATGCTGCGGGGTAGAAGGCGGCAGCGGCGCCGCTGCGCTCGGAGAGGGGGTTTTGAAAGCGTCGGCGACGTCCGGAGCGGCGCACGGCGTCATTGTTCCGCAGCGGTCATGGCCATGGCAAGGGAAAACTGGGGAGACGGATCGGTGAAGGGTTGGCGACGATTATATGTCAGGGACGAATCACTATGACAGGAGGGGTTGCCTCGAAGCAGCAAGCGACCCGGAAGGGCAGGGGGGGTTTTTTTTTTTTCTGAATGCAGCTCCTGCTGACTTTTGGCGATAGGTCCTGGAGACGGCTGGCGGACGCGCTCCCTCCACTTGCCGAGCCCTGGACTCTCAAGCTCGCTCCGAATTCCACGAGGTTGCGGAATCCTCAATGAGTTGGTCCTTTGGTGCAGTTGGAGCCCTTCTTCTGAAGATTGCCCCCCGAGACATGCACGGTCGGAGTTGAGAATCCGGCGAGCTGGGAACGGGTCTGGTATGCAGTTGAGTGTGGGTCTGTGTGCGAGTCCGTGTGAGCTCTTGATTGAACACCCCCTTCCCCCTCGCCCGATTTGCATCAGCTGATTGGAAACCAACGCCGTTCTGGGATTGAGCCAAAAAGCAAGCCCAGGGTGGTGCAGACTGCAGATAGCACGAGAAAAGCGACTTGTCTCGAGCGAGGAGTCGCGGGATATTATTAATATCGATAACATCGACCACCCGGCGTGCTAGGCAATGAAACCTGCTGGATTGGGGGGCAGGCGGCCTTCTGGCAGGCGGCAAGCTAACGGCGTGCCCAATTGTTCGCGGTCGGGCTCGCCGGCTTTCTTCGGGAGACCGGACGATTCGTGCAACGGCTTGAGAATGAAACTCGGCCGTCGAAGATGAGAAGTGATGGTCTGGTGAGCTCTTCGGTTTCCCACTTCAAGCGGGGGGACGCCTCTCCCACTGGTTGACAGTCGCCTTAGCGTCGCGAATCCTTGTCTGCCCAGGGCTATCGCTTGGAAAGAATACGGCTAAGATGTGGCGCTGCAGGTGCTGATCAGCCCTAGAGGGAAGACCCTGCGGAAATGGAAAGCTGGTCTTAGCCATACCGGAGCCACTGTGGTTGCGTGCCAAAATAAAATACCCCCCTGTCAGGTATCTTTGGACTGGCCCATCTCAAAGTTTTCGGGGCCTCACGGGCGACTTTCTGCCCTGCGCGGCCCTGGCTAAAACCCCTGCTATACCTGACTTGGACGCTTTTACTTACCCTCCACACCAAAGTAAACGTTTATTACCTACCCCGGCAGAGGTGTACCTACACAGGAAGATCTCCCAAGGCGTGTTGGAGGGGAATGCGACAGTGGAGCTAAGAAGTATCGAGCTAACAATAAAAACAGCATCAGAATATGCAACGACGATATATCAATGGTTGAACTTGATGGTTCTTGCTCATCAATCTTTGTCGAGACGTTGGGGATGATGCGGTAGCATCACCTTGCACCACTGAACTTGGAGCCGCCCACTCACAAAGACGTTGGGGCGTCTCGCGCCAGTTTGGGGGCACATTGAACAAGTAGGATGAGGACCTCACCGCCTGGGAATCTTGCGCAATGGGAAGACCCAGGTCCCGGGTGTGACTTGGAGGTGTGTTGGAGAAGTCTGAAACGTTGGTATGCCGGCAGCTGGCAGAGTGCCTGGCGTGGAGATCGGATCGATGAACCACTGGGGCAAACCACTGGTGTCAAACGCTCCTGCCGCTGAGGTCCCATTGCGGTATCTCATGGTCGTACGTACTTGCCTCGCAGCCCGAAGAGGGCACATTACCGAATTAAAATGCCCGGTATCACGTCGGCCTCCTTCCACGGCCCACCCTTCGGAACCGATGTGCCTGGCGACAAGATCGAATCATGTTTCGCTCACCTTGACTTCCCTTCCCGGTGAGCAATGCAGCTCACCACGTGGGAGAGCGATCGCACAACGCCACAAGGGAGATCGGATGAACTCTAGGTAGGGAAGCTAGAAAAACACCAGAAAACGGAGCAGTTCCTTCCGAGCAGACGGCCATAGCTAAGATCCCGGGACCATGTTCCCACCAAACAGCCGCATTTCTTGCAGCTCAAAAGGTGAATAAGGTAGGTTTTAGCCCAGACAGTCGCAGTTGATATCCGTGGTGCCGTGTCTTACCCTTGAATAGTAGTAGTTCGACGGGGCTAGCAGCACACGTAAGGCTTGCCGGCCACGGGCGAAGCAGTGATGGCTACTTCTCAGCCGTCTGTCCGCACCACCCTGCAGGCCAGACGGAAAGAGCCACCGCAATCGTCAATTAGCCTGGCGAACTCCTCATCTCCTCAAAGGCTACAAATGATATTTTTTCCGGGGCTTGGGACCGGAGCATGCCTGAGCGGCGTGATACTACGACCGAACATGTTTACCAAAGTATAAGTTTCAGCATTTGGCCGGACAGCCCACTCGAAGCCAGGCATCAAAGCGCCCGGATCGCACACTTTTAGTCCAAACTGAGAGGTCGCCCATCCTTACGAGCAATGCTGTCTGTCTCGAGGCTGGTCCTTGCCGGCCTTGCCGTTCTCTCAGGCTCGGGATTTGTTAAGTCTACGATCCTTCAGAATGGCCAAGTGCGAATTACGGACTTTAAGAATACGACCGTCGACAGGACTAGCCTCTCGTTGAAGACCTATCCGCGGAACGCGACGGAGATTTCCTACCAAGGACGATGGGACTCAAATTTTGTCTCTTGGTGGTCGTAAGTCACCTGCATCACTTAGACATTCAGGGGTTCTAACATCTCTAGCGCTCCGGGCCTGAAATTTGGTTACACGGGATCGCAAGTTGGCATTACGTTCGGCCCATCGACAAGCCCCGGCGTATTGATCGGGTATCGCATTTCGGGCTTGGACTGGCAATTCACGAATGTCACAGGCGGGCAAACGCACTTGCTCGTCGGACCCGAGACTCCGGGTGTAGACTTGACCGCACCTGTCAGCCGTTTGTTCCCTTTTCCTGTTGGTTTTTGTTTGCTGTCTCGGGAGCTGCAAGCGCAGCTCATCGGCCGGTGATACGAAAATTGATCGGAACGTGCAATGCATTCTGACACTTCCTACAGCCACGACATTTGAGATGCGCGTTACGAACTGGGCGTACGGTGTGCAGATTGAATCTGTACATGTAGGAGACGGCCAAAAGTTGATCAAGCTACCCGACGCTTCTCGGCGGATCGAAGTCATTGGTGACTCTCTTGCTGCAGGAATGTACACATCATATGAAGGACTTTCGAGCTGGGCTTAGTAGGTCTTCCTACCCCAACACTCCGAGCAGATGGGACGGTCTCCTTCCGTGGTACTAATATTAGGGCAGTGGTGTCGGCGCTGGATTAGGCAATACCGACTACTCTATCACGGCCTATGTAAGTGCGAATTGGGTGGTTTGTTTCCGTTTGTCAAAATCACTCGAGGCTCCCGATACAACTAATATTGCCCAAATAGAGAATGATGAGCTGATATCTTCTATAGCCTGGGATATGCGGTGAGTGCGCTTCCTTGGGTTTTCTGAGAGCACAACACACAGGCGCCGTCTCTGCACTAGAAACGCGAGGTCCCAAGACGTAGCAAACGGGCTGATAGTATCATAGCGGCTGACCAAGACTGCTGGGGCAACCCTCGCGGTCAAGTCCATCAGTGGTTTTATACAAGTGACACAAGCTGGCGGGCCGCCGAGGCGCATGGGAGTGAGTGGTTGCCCCCAAAGAAGGCCAGTGAGATAGATTCTGACGTCTTAGCAGACAACCCAGAGCCATGGGACTTCAGCAAACACCCCGCAGCGTGAGCCTTTCCCGAGTCTTTCATTATTGCCATTTATTCCCTATTTTAGCTACCTATTCACGGCATTGCTAGGTGTCAGGGGCGTCTCGTGAGCGCGCCTGAGACTTGCGTTGCCTGAAGACATCTTCAACAGGTAACTGACAGAGACTTACCAGTGACCTTGTCATCATTAACATCGGTACCAACGACCAGAATTCTCACAATAATGTCTCTGCGCCGGTCTACATTGACGCTCTCACCAAAATTGTCCAGGGAGTGCACGGCAAGTACCCGAACGCTCAAGTCATCGTCATGGTAAGTAAACAGATTTTCAGCGGAGACAACCAAATTTTGACGCTATCTCAGTCCCTATGGCTCGGCTTCTCGCAAACCGGTAACACGTATGCGTCTGTTTCGTCTAAGGGATTCGTCAACGAGGTCCGGGATATGATCAAGATGTTCAATTCAGACGAATACTTGAGCAACCCAGTTGTCTACGACGGTGCCAGCAAGAAGTTGTCACAGACGAACAAGAAGACAAGGCCGTTCGTCCATCTATTCAACACCACAGGAATACTGCAACACAATGACATCGCACCTCAGTGGCACCCCAGCGATGTCGGTGCCATCAAAGTTGCGAGCCACTTGCTGCAGTTCATCAAATTGACGTTTGGATGGGAGCTCGAAGCAACTGGGCCAGAGTAAGTCGGACTCACAGAGCGTTGTTTCCACACAACTAATATAACTAGGGTATTTCATGAGACTCTGTACTGGAACGACGAACCAAACTACTAAAGGCACAGTCAAACGCGGGAGTCTCGGTCAGCAACAGAAGGAATTGGGGAGCAGTCTGTTACGAAGTCACTGGCGTAACCTCGACTGAGCGGCGTGTCAGAACTACGTGCGCTCATTCATCCCGCCGCACAGCTTAACGGATGAAGGCGTCTTACCCATCTTCAGGTGAACTCCTGCGGCTGTTGGGCCAGCAACTGGGAGTTGAGGGCTTAAAGTGGTCCACACACAAAAAAAAGGAGTGCCCCGGAAACTGTCCGATAGTGGGCAAAAGAAAAGGTCGTACCCGGAATCGAACGGGGGTTCCCGGAAGAACTGAAACCGGAGGACAGAGTCAGAATCCGATGTGATAATCGCTACACTATACAACCGATTTGCGTGCTGGTCGTTGTAAGGGAGTGTTGACATTGCAATCCCAAAACAGTATGATCACACAAGCACTCCAATCTAATAGTCCCAGTGACTCGTTTACAAAGGAGCCGACAGCTTGAAGGTCAACTTGGTGGCACTACGTGTAGGGCTATTACTGAGACTTTTCTTACGGTTATCTGAACTTGCAGCACTCCTCCTAGCATATCAAAACTTTCTCATCCGACGACGTTAGCCCATGTGAGCAGCTCTCGACTTCGTCTAGAGCTTAATCGCCCAGCTACAACCCGCAGCGGGAACTCTCGTCAAACAGTTACGCAAAGCCCAAGCACTGCAGAGTGCCATGTCAACACTACCGGACATGAATTGCGGCGAGCATCCATCTCACAAAACTTCAAGCCCAAGTGGCTTGACGTCCAGGAACAATTGTGTATCACCCAGGCACTATATAAGACTCCTCCGCCAGATGGGAACCAACAGCCGGGTGGCGACCAACACTTGTGTTACCGGCACCGCTGTGTATTAACTCACGCCCAAGCTATCCACTCTCCCTAGTGAAACCCCGATAATCCTCTCATCACACTGCCCGACAGGCGGGCCACCAGGTTCTATCCCTCGGGGCTCTTCGCACAGGGCTTCATCATCTATCTCCTGATCATTATCACAAGGTCAGCAAGCATGGGGACACCATGAAATTGCAGGGCACCGTTCTGGTGTACCCAAGCATTTTTGGAATCAAGCGTCGCCACGCTTCTCAAATGAAGACCAGGTGAACCATGAAGAAGCCACAGTCCCTTGCCTCCACCAGAGAAAACATTCCTTTGGGTCGCCGCGCTCAGGGTAGGCATCGTGGCCGCCACAAACATTTCCCTCGGCTACATAGCAACATAAACATACAAATGTCATCACGAGATCGCCGAGTCAAAGCGGACTAACATCAAGGGGCGCATATAATGAGTATTCGGGGAGGAGCAGCTACCTCGGATGGGTACCACAAGGAATTACCGGAAATGTCAATGATTACCAGTCGATCACTACCCAAGCTAGAACATCATTGACTCGCCATCACCATCCCAGCCTCACTCAATTTTGCTGCCTGTCACCGCTGAACGGGCCGATATGGGCATATAGATCCGCCATGGCTATAGCACTGGAAAGCAAACTATCGACCACCAGCCCCGTTACGGCGAGATTCGTCCTGGCCAATATGGCTTCAGCGCACCCAGCAACAGCACCAGCACTGACCCCGCCTTGTCTCGCTCGCCTTGCGCGCGCGCAAACACCAGAGCGTCAGCTTCAGCTCTCTTTCTCCTTGCACAGCGGGAAGATAATAACAAGCCCTCTATAAGTCGAACAGCCAACACGTGGTATTTTTCCTTCCTTTCGCTCCCCCAACCTTTCGCCCTTCTCGATAACAGAACCTGCATTGAATGCTATGATGACTGTCATCCCGGCTTCTCATTATGCCGTTCCCAAACCAGCTTGGTTGCGGCGCTTGCCCGTCGAAGCGAGATGCTCTGGCCAGGCAAGGCATCCAACATTAAAAGAAAACAAAAGCGGCAATTCGAACCGTGGCGGTTCAATGATGAGCGAGCCCTTATTCAGCTCAGTCGTTCGGTGGCATTGTTTTCCATGCGCTCGGCAGCTCGCCATGCCGCGTCACGTTCGAAACCGCTCCCGAGGGAAAAAGGGGGGGGGTGCTCCTCAGCGGTGCGGCGCGGCTTTGAAACGCGCACACGTCGCAAGTCGGTCGAACATCCCCATTTTTAGCCCCCATCAGGCTGAGCCAAGAGCGAGCCCTTCCCGAAGTGCGCCGTTGCCCAGCTCCCAGCCTCGCTGGGAGCGCAAGGCCAACGAATCACTGCATGTCAACAATAACTACCAGGGTGAGTGCAGTGGTGCGTGGCACGGCGCGCCGAGTGTTCGAGGCCAGAAAAGCCAAGACAAACTGGGGAAAATGATGTGCTTGTGCTTTTGACACCTTACCCTTCTCAGACCCAGCGCTAGGACGATTTTATTCTGTTGACGTTACGATCCTTTCCCCTTTCTCTTCGCTACCGCGCGGTGACAGCCGCGCACTGGTCTCGGGATCATGTCCCAAGTGTCTCACCTCGTCTTCGCCTCTGCACAAGCTGCAGGTACGGCGTTGCTGCGCATCATCTGGTCCCAACGGACCCGACATGTCGGTTTTTGTTTCGCTGTCAAACGTCGCTCTCAACGTGGACAGGGGTGCATGATCTCTAGACGAGATGAACTTCGTGACTCTGCTGCCGCCGTCTAAGCCACGGGGGCACGTTCCCATCTGAATATCGGACGGCGCATGACACGACGGAAATACACAATGGCAATGCAGTGGACAATGGGCCATGCGTGCTCCCGAGTCTCTGGGAACGCTCTCAGTCACTGACATTAGCGCTGAAGGGCGGCGCCAGCCATCGTTTCAGAATCAATTCGGGCGGCGTTTCCACACTGGGCCGAAAGAGGCGCCCTTAAGATGCTGATCACGTTGATCTGGATTTTCCGGGGCGCCCATTCCGCCCCCGAGGCACGCGGGAAAGGGGAGTCGGGAGCTGGAGGGATTGACTTGAGGTGGAAATAGAGTCCGAGCGTTTCAACTCAGGGGCAGCGCCAGCAGACGGGTGTTGACACGGGTGCCCGCACCGGCGGCTCGCTTCGGGCTTGTGGTGTTTCCTCCCAGACGTGGAGAGAGGAGTTCCGAGGGGCTGCTGTCGTCCGACATCACGTTGAAATGCCGGATTACTCGATACGGCATGGCTTGCCGGGCGCCCGCATTGATGTTTTCCGAAAACCTGGTGATGGTTTTCCGTTTCCGCTGCATGCAGGTTTGTCGTTGTTGTGCCAGTGGCGATCAGATGAAACAATAGGTCTTGAGGAGCGGCTGTTGTGGCTTTGGCGGCTTGAGACTTGGGGCGACGCTCACTGCATTCCCTAGTGTGTTTGCTGCTGGGAGTGACCCGTCTTGCCTGCTCGCGGCCTAGTAGGATGCGCGCTGCAAGCCGCATCACGGTTTAGGGAGAAGAGGCTGAAGTTAGCGTGGTTTATAATAGATAGCTTAGAGGGCTCGGGACTCGCCCAGTGGTGGCTACTATTCGGGGACCAAAACCTCAAACTGAACGAACCGTTTGGATACCTGCTGACAATCCGCACAGCTAGCAGGGAATCTCGACGGACCATCGAGGGATTCCCTCTTGTTGGGCCCTGGAGAGCGACAGAGCACATAAGCTGCATCAACTTGCGGAGGGTTGTGGAGGTCGTGATGAAAAGCCACGCATGCCGAACTGATTTCCCAATTCGATGACGGCGCTGAGGTTCTTTCTCCCCATACCATCTCCAAAGGCGTGCCCTGCGTCTTTGAATGACATCAGCCATCGATGGCTTTCGACGGGCTCCAATCGGCCATCATCCCAAGGGAGGGGATGGCCCCGAGGCCCCCGTTCCCGCAGACGATCCTCGAGATCCCTGCGGGCAAGGTGGGTCGAGACAGCAAGGATTCCGAGACTTGGCGCACTGCTGATCGACAGTTGTCGGCGAATGAGGGGGGTCCGCCAGAAGGGCGCTAGAAGAGAAAGCAATCGTGACGAAAACCCCGCAGACCCGGATTTCGCGGGCGTTCTTCGTTTTGGACAGACTAACAGCAGAGTACCACGGAGCGAACCGGCAATGATCTGCACACCCAGCAGTTGTGCGCGTGGTTTCCTGTTTAGAGACCACGTGCATAGCAGGTGGCGGGCCGAATCATCAATTCAATTCGAGGCGATTGTGTCGTGGTGTGTACTTCATTGTACTAGCAGCCAGGCAACAGGAGAAGCAAGGAAACCCCTCCGCTGCGACAGCAGCACGAGATGAACACCGTCCCACTCGACCTGCCGTCCCACAGTTGAGGCTCTCTCGGATACCAACACCTCGGATCCCCACAACAAACCTCGACCACAACTAGACCCCTTTCAACGCTCGCCCACGCAAGCTCGGGGTGCCGTTGGAATTTCTCTCCAGAGAAAAACCGCGCTTGTGGGCCGGTGATCCTTGCGTGCTTCGGGCCCCACACTCTCCACCACCAACCCTGATGATCTGCGATAATCCCTGCTATGTCTCAAGCCACCGCCGCCTCTCGACACCAGCGAGCAAGTTCCCCGCCCGAGCACAACAGCATAAACCTGCAATTTGGACAACTGCGTCCAAACAATTTCAATGTTCGCCTGTGCATCAACGCAAACATCGATCAGTATTTCCGATCCAGATGGCCAGCTGACATTATCGTATATGCCCGACCTGGCAAACCAGCGCCCACGGTTCAAGTAAAGTTGGGCGTCGTTCGTGCTAACGTGACAAATCCACTTGACCCAACCCCAGAAGGGAAGGTCTCAAGTCCCTACCTCTCTGACAAGAGTGAAAACCTCCATCCGAAGAGACTGGACGAAAACGCCAGGGCAAACCCCACTGACTTTACGTCATGTCCTGGACTGCTTCGTCACGCATCCACTCTACATCACAACCAACGATTCCCCTTGATCCAACAATACGCCCGATATTGGATGAACGAGTCAACGCGCGCAATAAACAAACCAAACCATTGAACCCAAGACCCATGATGCCAGTCGTCTACCCAGACTCCAACTTACGAATCCCTCTCCCCCCCCAAAAACTTTCTTCCAGAACAAGGGAGATCATTTTGAGAGAAGAATTACCCGGTCCCACCAACCGGGATTCCCACACACACACACATACACACACACAAACTCCTCCCGTCACGCGGGAAATAGGTGGGAAGCACACTGTGGCACTCGCAAGCAAGGGAGGACACGCTCAGCAACTCCCTTTCAGCCCAAGGAAGCCACTCACAGCACATCCAACACACAAACCCGACACCTCGTCGCTGGCAAGTCTCCACAACCCACTCAACCCATCCCCCCCCGAGCCTCAGCACCAAGTGGAAACCAAAGCAGATCATCATATGCACCATGTGTAACTACTGTACTCCATA